TCCCTGCGAGGGGGCGCGGGGAAGCGGGGGAGCGTGGCGGCGGGGTGGGCCGGGGCAGGGCCACCCCTCTGCCGCCGCTGTTATAAATTCAGGCTGGCTCGGGGAAAATGGCTGCCACTCTTAGGAGCTGGGCTTCCCACCAGGTAAGAGGAAACCACCCGCCTTCTTTGCAAAAGTGGCAGCGGAGGAAAAGTTCTGCTGAGCTCTGTCTCTTTGCAACGTGCCCAGCTCCCCTCTCCTTCCTCTTGGAGGAGGATGAAAGTTTCTTTTTTTTTTTTTTTTTTTTCTCTCCATTGTTATTCAGCAGGGCAAGGGGAGGAGCTGGGCTGTGTAAAAGATCCTCTCTGACATAACCCTTCCTATGCAGAGCTCTGGAGCGGGGCCAGCTTGTACCTGAGCATTTTTATTTAAATTAATCCCAGGCATTGCAGACTGAAAGTCCTAGCAGCACCAGGTAGAACCAGTTAAGACGGCTGCTGAAGGGCGTTCTCGCCTGGTTGAAGTAAAGCAGTTTTGAGGTACGTGGTTTGTTGCTAACCTGGGGGACGTCTTGTGGAGGTGTTAGAGTACGCTCAGCGAGTGGAGCTCGCCCAGCCTTTCCAGGCGGTTTCGGTAAAACCCTGCCTGAGAGGCCTTTAAAGAAACCGTGTGGCCGTGATTGAGACGTGAAGCCTTGTTATACTTAAAATTTGGGCAAGCTAGAAAGCAAAGGGCTGCCTAGCAGCTGCTTAGGGCAGGTTGCTGGCTACAGGCTAACGTTTCTGGGCGAAGAGGAAAGTGGGAATCTTTTCCTGCCCTTTGAGTTTTGGATCGGACTCCGAGAGCCTTGGGAGGCGCAGGTTGCTGGCGGTGCCTCCCCAGTATTTATCAGTTGCCAAAACCAAAGCAAATAAGCAGTAAGTAAGAGTAGGTGAGGACTTCCCAGAGACCTGCTCTGGCGCATGGGATGCCACCTAGCACAACTGTCTCAGTTCACTGACTCTTTCTCCTCCCCCCTCTCTGTCAGTCAGCCTCAGCTTGCGAATCGCCTGACTCAGGGGTGCTTCCTCCCTGCCTGCCGGACAGCCCTGCATGCCTTGCGGGGGCACTGAAAGCAAGCGTTGGCAGCATGTTAAGGGAAAATCCAATGAAGCCATTATAGATAAAGCTGCTTTTCTCTACCCTTGCCTTGAATGCTGTGAGTAGCGTTGCTCCACTCAACCCAGCCGATCGAGTGAGGTCAGCATCCAATGCTAGCAATGGTTCATACATCCGAGAAAGTCGATTCCCCCTCCTGCAGAGGGTCTGACTCTGATTTCGGTGGCACGGTGCTGGAGTCCCACTGGGGAGCCCAGGGAGCCAGTTCAGCAGCAGGGAGAGCAGCAGCTCAGGGCAGCTGAGATCATTGCCAGCCTCCTGCTGGTTTTTTTGGCCCCGTGAGCAGGGCAAGATATGCAGCCTGCCCATCATCTGCTGAGCTGCTGCAGGAGTAACACAGACTCACCAAAAGTTTCCATAAAACGCCATACGGTAGCCAGCAGCAGTGATTCACTGGCAGGGGTCAATAAGCCTCATCAGCTTCCTGAGCTCTGCTCTTCCTTGTGCGCCTGAGCTGTGAGTCATCCCGGGAAGGGGGGGAAGAGCAGGAGGGAATAACTTTCACTTCTTGGGTAATGTCAAAGGCGAGTAAGGTTCAAAGTGCAACACTTATTCCAAAGCAACACAAAGTTGCTTATAGAGGTCCCAGGTCACAGATGCTAAACACGTGCAGTCCAGTCAGTCCTTGGAGGGAGGCGGACTGGTGTGCGATGTCGGTAACAGATACAGTTTTTATAGCAGTACTTGGCATTGCACTAGTAACAGCTTCGTGCGAGCACTGGGTTTAAGCCAGCCCTTAACCTCTCCACCAGGAAGTTCTAATTGCCTCTGCTGAGCAGGTAAATGATAGTTGTCTCTGCTTAAGAGGTGGCAGCTGGTGGCAGCGATGCAGTAGACAGCGGTGCTGTAGAAGCCTGCTTTTCTGAGTGACTGCTGCAAGTTGGCAGTCAGTCCGTCTCACAACAAATTTACTAAATGGCAGGAAATCAAAGGTCAGTGCAGATGGCAAGGCACCGCTCCAGGGAAGGGTGCATCAGTGTGTGCATGTCCTGCAGACTGGGAACCTTCCAAAATTTCTCTGCCAATTACTGTGAAGGCTCCCCAGGCTACAATCTATCTACTCAGTTTGCCCTAGACCTCTTTGTTACCTAGAAATAAGCAGAATCTGAAGATTTACAGTAGTTTAAGATTTTTGATGTCTGGCAGCCTAGCTGTGATCTCTGCTCCCAGAGATCCTGGGTGTGCAGATGAAGTTCACAGATGTGCGCAGTCGTTCTCGTGGGTCCCAGAAGCATTGGGCCTTCTGCGGCAGGCACTGTGCATACAGCAGATCTCATTTCCTCTAGGAAACTTAGGTTTGCTTTGCAGTTGTCACATGGTGCCTACTCACCTAATTCTGCCTAGGAAGGCCTAGGTAGAAATGTAATTATGGGTGCTCTAGCACTGGGAGGCAAACAAAAGTGCAGTTCATGTCCTGCCTGTCCTATGCATATGTAAGTGTGCAAAGTAGGGACTGAAGGGAGACCTGCCAACCTCAAGAGAGCAGGACACTTGATCTCACCTGGAGATCAGGCAAGTGATATCTCTAAGGGGGAGGAGAAGGGTTATTCCAGTTTTGCAGCATAAACTTTTGTTCCCTGGGACGTGTACTGACTGCTTCTCTCTTTATTTCTCTAGTGAGGATGCAGCAGAGACAATAGCAATAGACTCTAACAATCAGCCGAAGTCTCCACTGGAAAAGTTTATGGTCAGACTGTGTACGCATCACCAGAAGCAATTCATTCGTGTGCTAAACGACATATACACTGAAGTACAACCAGATTCTGAAGGCCAGCAGTTGCCTGAATCTGAAAGCATGGAGGCCTCTACTTGTAGCTCTGGTTGTAGCCAGCGAAGCACTGAAAATCAGGATAAGGGTGCTACTTGTACTGAATTAAAGCCCCCTTCTTCCTCAGACCCAGGGCAGTCAGGGTCTGAAGGCACCCTGCGTGTTACAGGACAAAGCCTGAAGCAGCCTACAGAGCTGAAGTCTATGGACAGAGCAGAGAGCTCCAGTCCTGCTTTGAAAAGAGACTTCTCTGAAATCCCCGTTACTAGACTTAGCTCTGCTAGTCCAAAGGATAGTTTCACCCAAGGATACCTCAGCACGTTGAACTCTTCCTCTTTGAATTTCCATCATGCCGCAAAGAACCTGGAAGGACAAGCCGCTGGACGCGAGCAGGAAACTGGTGTCAAAAAGTGTGAGGACAATAAAGAGCAGGTAGCAGGTAAGACTCTAGTGGAAGGCTATATCTCTGTCAAAGTGGCAAATGTGAATGGCAGTGAGGACAGCTTAGACAGCTGTCTGGGGTCCCAAAAGAACTCTTTCAAAGCTTTACCCGAAGAGTCCTGGGATTCTGGCTTTACGGTAAACTCTCCTCGCAGAGCTGACAAAGAGAACGCTTTGCAGTGCAGCTCGAAAGCATCTTTGCACCAGGACTTTGACGCAAAAGAACCAGATGCGAGACCAAAGCAAGAAAACCACCTGCACGCCGCGGCCAAGGGCAAGGCAGGCTGCCACCTGCACCCGGGCGACAAGGGCCCGCT